CGTTACATTGCTTAAAATCGATTATCCACCAATGAGAAGAGGATTATCCGGGCTTCGAAGAGTCAGAATATATTGTTTTAGTAATTTAGAATTGCAAGAAAACAGAGTAACTGCAAATATTTTGTTGGCAAAAGAATAATAGGCAGGTCTTTGAGACAAATAAATTTTGATGATATTGCACGTAAACTTGGTGTACATTGAGATTAGAATTGTCTATTTGTAAGATATATTCAACGTTTTTAGCTAGCGCTTTTCATAAATTGAATCAATTTTAAGGCTGACTTCAGACGCCAAAATTCCAGATTTTTCTTCGAGCTTACAGGGGAAGTACCCCATGTGCGACGCTCAGATTTTGATGAAACTTGGCACAAATTTAGAACAATTTTTGCTAAAATATATGCGAGAATCCTAGTTCGCGCTTTGCAGAAACCACCGAAATTTGTAGATCGAAAATCATCGAAAATTTGACAATTTTTGCCGAACTTCGGCACAAAAAGTTTCATGCCTATTTCTACCGTAGAGGGTACCGTTTGCATAAAAAATCAATTTTCCGCGCGAAACTAGCAACGTTACGGCCAAAAAGTGTTTTTCTCTTTGACCGCTCTCCACGTTTAGCGTGCTCTCTCGTCGGCAAAAATCGTTTGATATCTCGGCGGCGCCCGCAAAACGCGAGCTAAAACTTTCAGGAATTGATATTTAGTCCATACCCGACGTGTGTGCAAACTTTAAAGAAAATCTGAGCGTTACACTTGGGGTACTTCCCTTGTTAGTAATACTACATACACATATGCGTATGTAATAATGACCTGTTTAAATTTTGGAATATAACGTTTTTTTCAATATTTGACCATGAACGTCACGATGCAACGTTACGAACCCACAAAGACAAGGACTTTCATTACTATAACCTAGCATTCAGATTTTGAGCACCTCCTATTAAGGATGCTCTCAAGGGATGAGGCTCGAGTTAGCATCTCATTTTGTATACGTGTCTTCACAAGTATAGCACTTAATATTTTTATCTCGCACGTTGCATGAACACCCAAGATATTCCTTGGTATTTGCTGTCGAGATAATACGCGAATGCGGAGAGTGGTCAGAGAAAAACCCCTTTTTGGCCATATCGCTGACAATTTTGTGTGGTAAGAGTTGACTTTATGTGGAAAAGGTTTCTTTTTCGTTAGAAATAGTGCTAGAGCTTCTTATACCAAAATTTCAAAAAAAGTGTTAAATTTTCATCATTTTTCAGATTTTAAATGTCAATGATTTTTGGGCCATGTGAGCTAAAACCCTCGCATGTTTGTTGAAAAAATTTAGTAAAAGTCTGTACCAGGTTTCATCAAGATACGAGGTTTACATTTTCAATCCTTCTCAATGGATTGGGCGTCACGTTTTGGGCAAAAAATATCCTCTAGAATATTCTATCTTCTCCCAAAAGATACTCTACCCATTACACAATCCGTAGTCCCCAAAAATACGTGTGATTATCTCCCCTCCAAGGCATGCCCATTTCAAAAGACGCTGTTTTGTACTTCGCATCCCCAACAAGTTTCGTAAAGACCAAAGTTTTGGTGACCGGACCAAAAATAAAAAGAAAAGCAAACTCTTGAACGTTCGTAGCCATAACCCAAAACTATACGTGCTCTTTCCCATCCCTCTCCTATTTGCTATTCCGATGACGCGAACTCAAAATGTAATTACCGCACTGATAATTGGGGCGATCCCGGCCGCCTGTGTGAAATTTAATCCCGATGAGAGACTTAGAGCAGGGGGAGCAGCCTTTTTTCGAAAACTTTTCTTTGTCCGATTCAAGCGAATGGAAATTTATAAATGAAAATACTCCCGGAGAAAACAAACAGGATGCCTTTTTTGGGGGCAACCAAGAAAACATTATACATTCCAGCTCCAAACGGCCACAAAAATTATGTCTTACTGAGGCGAGGCTTCCCGAAGAGGGCATGGATTAGGGATTACGTCAAACCCAGGACAATGACAATTTTAACGAGATGCGGGACCTGAGTGTTCTGCATTGCAAGAGCTTAGACCAGAGCCAGGTTACACAGGAAATCACCATGAGCTTTGTAGGGTTTAGTGGGAATGTATTCATATTATAATAATATATTTCTTTTTGTCATAAAAATTTTGGAGTGATAATGACTCAATAAGCGATAGAAAATTTAAAAAAAATTTTGATACAGGGTTGCATTTTTTTATCTCGCGACCTACTACACCACACAAAAAATAAAGCACTAGGAATTTCGTATGTGGCTTCTAACATATCAGTCTGTCGGGAAAATAACGGCGGATTGTCGCAGCAAAATGTCTCGCCTCGCCGCTATCGCGCGCCAAATCCCCAGCCGCGGCTTTTAGTCGCAGAGCGATGATGGGCGATTCCAAGGCGCGACGATACGCCGGTATTTTCCCGACAGACTGATAATGCTTCAAGTCTGTGAAAACTTAAAAAAAAACTATCTAAGTCACAGCCTTTCCTTATTAAAAAAAGAGGGATCAGATAAAAAAATCCAAAAAAAATCAACTTTTATGATACAGAAAATCTGTAGTGTCTTGCAAATTATTCTACTGTAATTCCAGCCCTTCTGGCTACAAAAAATGCCAAAAGTTTGGCCAGGGCACCAAAAAATTGCCCTAAAAGGCCTTAAACCCAGATTTTTGGGATTTGAAAGTAAACTCGAAACGACATCCGTGTTTTACTCGAAAGTATTTGTGGCGGCGGCTTATTCGAGAGTTTGTGGAGAAAAAACACAAAAGCTCACAAGACCAAAACGCATATAATTCTCTCCAAATGAGACGAAGCGACGATTTGTGAGAGAAAAACTGATCTGATTAAAAACTCCCGTTGGAAAATCAGAGCCCTGCGTTGCTTGTTAGTCTCTAGAGGTCCGAGGAATCGATAAGACTACCTGGATCGCTGTTTGTTGTAAGGAAGGATGGGAGGTAAATTACAGAAGAATATAAATAAAAATTTTAAAAAGATTTCATTAGTAACCTAAACTAATGAAAGTCTAATTTCTCGAAGCTCAATGGTCATACCGCCTTCACATTTGGCACGAAGACTCTATCCAAATCTGGCATTAATTTTCTAAAATTTTATCATAAGCAGTATAGGCCCAGCCGAGATATTGAACGACCGTTGCAGCCGAGACGCTATAGAAGGCCAAAGAAAAATTTTTCGGCAAGATTCTGCAGATTTTTATTCGGATAGGCCCCTCTAGATAGACCTCTCTAGTAAACGGACTGTCTCTTCAGCTTTCGAACTTTGGCAGGGGTATACGTAGGAAAAACAAACGTTTCTTTTCTGACCGTATCCCTTCATTTTCCGCAAACTCTTGACGAAAAGATGATTTAAACTTTTTAAGCCGTTGCAAGGCGTGAGGTAAAATTTGAGTTGCTGTGTGACCCACATACAACAAGTCTGGCAAGTTTGAATAAAATCCTGAAATAAAAAAAATCAAGAAGTGATAAAAAAAGAAAAATTCACAAAATGTTACTGTATAACTGAGGTGCAAAGAACAAGCTCAAACTTGTAGAGATTGTTATTTAGCCTACATAGGGAATATAGGAAAAGTTTTACAAAAACCGGGCTCTTGAAATTTAAGCTGGGTCATCAAAAAAATTCAAGGTGAACTCTTCGGACCCGTCTCAGAATGAACTGTGTTTTCGATAGTAAAACGCAGAATATAACTATCTTTACCAGCGTCAAGACAAAGCAAATACACCTTTCGACGCAACAGAACCAATTTTGGAGCCTTGTTTCGTCAGGTTTATTTTTAAATTGCGGAATTGTCAAACCTGTGGATATTTAATTAATCTCCTAGAACCGTCCGCAGAGCTCTTACGTAGCCCTCTTTCCCCTCCCCACTAATTCATAACCCTCGATTCTCTCCAAACAAGCAAATTGCCCCCCCAAAGTCGAACGCTCAACCTCTCCATTTGGGAGCGTAAAACTAGTGAATGGAGAAAAGTATTATGTAAAAGTTAAACAAACAAAAATTGTGAAAAAACCCCGGAGACTCAAAGAAGGAGGGTCCACGTCACAATCCACCCCTTCATCCGCCCGTAGGAAGAGTCCTGTAATTTATATCGATTTGCAGTTATGCTTTATGTACCGCCCATGGTTTGTTTCCTTCGAAATTTTGAGAATTCAAAGGGGAAAATGGTCAGCTTGCAAAGCTCAGGTCTTGACTCAAATTAAAAATACAATTTTTGAAGATGTATGGAAGATTTTTGGCCCGCGTTATGCAGAAACGCTTGAAATTTCTAGATCGAAAATTTGCAAAAAAAATTTTTTTGGACTTGAAAAAATAACAGTCGATTACAGATGAGGGGGACAACATTTCCATACAAAATCATTTTTCAGGCAAAATCGGCAGGGAGTCCAGCCAAAAAACTTTTTTTCACTGGCCGACGCTCCTCATTTTGCGTGCTCTCTCAGAAAAACATTGCGAAATATCTTGGTATCAGTGCAAAGTCAAAACTAAAGCTTTTTAGAGTTGATATATGGACTATTTGGAGCACGTGTGCCAAACGGAAGAAAACGGAAAACTCTGACTTTGAGTTCTAGTCCCTGTCAATTAGCTGATGTAAAAACAAACAAATAACAAGCCGGAGAGGTCGATAAGACCGCAATAAAGTCAACAGAGCTAATCAGACCAATTACGAACCTGATGAACGAAGTTCTTAGGGTTCGGCTTAGGCATGAAGGAGCTGGAGATGATTTGCCAATATTATCCATGATGTGTAATATAATTTTTTTGTTTTTGTGGTGAAGATCGGACACATATCTTTTTATGTGATACCATTGTGTCCAGTTCGCCCTTTGGTACCTTCCATAACTCACCTGGCATTCAAAATCTTCACAACTCCACTTGAAACAGAATGCCAAAAAAATTCTCGACACGAAAACATTTTTATGCATTCTCTTTTGAAATTTCGGAAAAAAAATAAAAATTTTTTTCTCTGTTTTTTGTTCGTTGTTGAAAATGCCTGACGGAGACGTTGATTCTCAATATGGAATTCGCTTTTTCTCCACAGACCCGAGGTAAGAAGTTATTCATGGCATTTATAAATAAATTTTGCTCTGTTGGTTCATGGTTCTTCTTTTCGGTTTTTTTGTTACCAAGTTGTTTTCAGACTCCCGAAAATCCCCTCGACTGAAGTTTCGGTGCCTGTGAACTTAGATTCTGATGGATTAAATGAGATTTTAGCTGTCCAATTGGATGAAGAAGGTATGGTTAATATTCTTTTGTTATTTTTGATTTTTAGAAGAGTTTCAGAATAATGTGAGCTTTCTCATCAATGATAAGCTGTTGTCGACAAGTTTGTTTGAATTTGTCACATCGAATGAGCTGAGTACGGAAGGGGTTATTGAAGTAGAGTGCTTCTTGGCGGAATCTGCTCCCAAGCCAGAAAAGTCGATCAATGTAGAAGATTGGGTGGCTGATGTGAAAGTTAACGACAAATGGTACGTTTGGATGTCTTTTGGTTATACTTTTGCCTTAATTTTTGCGATTTAAACATTCGATTTGGTTTAATGATGGCTAAAAGAATGAAATTTTTCTGAAAATGGTTATTACTTTAAACTTTTTTAGGATTATTGCTGCCACCTATGACGGAGAGCTCAGTATCTTCTCTCACAAGGGAAATAAGTTGCATTCCACCAAAATCACGGACGATTCACTTCGATGTCTTCAATGTTTTACCCACAATGGTGAAGAATATGTTATAACCGGTGGCTCTGGTCAAACTTTGACACTCCATACTATCGAAAAGAAAGATCTCACGGCTACAATTGCTTTTCGTGGTCATGAACGAAGTATAGAAGCAGTAACAGTCAATAAAAATGGAGACAAAATTATCAGTGGCGGCTTTGACAAATGTTTGAAGATCTGGGGAATGGAGGCTTCTGAGACGGATTATGTGAAGCATAATGAAGAAAATGGAGTGAAAGCGAAGAAAAAAAAGAAGGAGCTGATTACCAGAGTGAGTTTTTGAACTTTCTATTAGTTTTTGTTGTTTTAGGTGCCAATAACAACTATCGAAGCTCATAAAGATGCCGTTTCTGCGGCTCAGTGGAATCCTATCAACCAGGGTCAGCTTGTATCGGCTTCGTGGGATCAGAGCCTATGTTTGTGGGATGTGGAGACCACCGAACAAGTGAATCGATTAACCTCGAACAAAGCCTTTCAAGCGCTCTCAGTTCAAGAGTCGAATGGGTTGATTGTAACGGCTTCTATGGACTCAACAATAAGATTATGGGATTTCAGAAGCCAAGGTATGAGTTTTAGAGTATTTTTGACTTTTTAGATAACAGAAATTTCAACTTTTTTACATTTGTTTTACACTTGATATTGCAGAGGGAGGAATGGTGAAAAAAGTATTCCGCGGTCACTTCAACGTTGTCTCTGATGTCTCCTGGAGTCAACTGAACCCGAATCTGTTCGTTTCGGCAGGGTTTGATGAAACTGTGAAACTTTGGGATATACGGTAAGTAGATATTATTGTTTTTATTTGTGCTTTAATTTTTAGAAGCACCGACGCCTCTCTCTTCGATATATCCGGTCATAAAGGTCACGTCCTATCGGTTGATTGGTCGAACGATGAACTCATTGCAAGTGGAGGAAAAGATTCAAGTATCAAAACTTACAGAAGGTCCTAGATTCAAGGAATTTGTTAATTTTCGAAATTGAAAGCGTTGTTAAATTGTTTCTGGTTGAAGTTTAATGAATTTGTTACTTGTTGTTATAAAGATTTCTTGTTATAAAAAGTTTTGGTTTAGGCTTTTTAAAGGAACTGTTTACATACAGCTGATTATTGACGTTTTTTATTGTTTTGCTCATAAATTGTTTGTTTTTGACCTTAAAAAGTCGTAACTTTTATTTTCAGGGACCCTAGTTTGTACCAGAGCCAAGGCATAAAACCAGTCCGGTCAAGATGGGAAAGGGATTCCAAAATTTCATGTCCAAGAAGGACTTTCATCCTTCAGCTTGGTGGAATTTGAAAAGAGTAAGTAGTTTTGAATTTGTTTTTAGATTTTTAGGGTGTCGACTTATGGCATGTTTAGGCATGTTTACGCCATATTTAATAAAAATCCGACAGTCAAATTTTTGAGTATTTATGTTGTCATGTATTAGGTTGTCCCACAAATAATGTCCCTCTTTGAAAAATTTACTTCTGCGACAAAATTTACCGTAATAACAGCAATCTAATTAATCAAAATAATTACCATATGCTTTAACACGTTGATTACAACGTGCCAAGCATTTTTTTATTCCAGTAGTTTAAAAGTCCCGGCTTCTGGAGCCGATGAAACTTTTGGAGGCCTTTTCAAGGGCGTCTTAATTGATTAATTTTCTACCACGGATGAAACGTGGTAGATCCTTGGACAGGTGGTAGTCTGCATAGGCTATCTACAACGAATATATCAGACGAAGAAGAGTTTCGTATCTCGGTTAATTCAGCTTCTGGAGGGTAATTTTTAGAAGGTGAGGTTGCGCGTTTCCGTTAAAAATGTTCGAACTTCTGTGGCGTACCGTGGAAGGCCGATTGTGCAACAAGCTGTCTATGCAAGTACAGTAGGAGGTGGTGTTTACAGTTTGGCCCGGTTCCAGGAAACAGTAATGCATGAATCCCACGTTGCGCCATCAAAAATTGACCGTCACCGTCTTCTAGAGGAACTCAGACTTTGGGACGTGCTGTGGTGGTACCCCGGATGACCACCTTTGAGAAAATCTTGCCTAGGTGTCATAGTCGATTCACATTTTGTCACAAGCTATGATACGATCCAGAAAAGCAGGATCTTAGGCTCGGTAAAGCAAAAAAGCGAAGCCTTCATTCTGGGCCTTGGTCCAATAATATGGGAAGAATTCGTCGAGCTTTTTCTTGAATTTATCGACATTGCACTGTTATCCACCGATAATTTTGATACCACCACAATGCCGGAAAGGCGTCGGATGTGGATTCCATGACTTCCGTCGACCAATGACCTCAGGGTAAATTCGCAAAGCTGGCATGACGTGTTTTTCCTTCGGGGTTCCTGTGGCTAGGTCGAATTTTTTTAAACGCTCGTTTCACCGTGGCCGAACATGGCGTTGATATTTGGTGTAACTTCTAAAACCTTCGTACCCTGTTTTTGCTCCCACAAGTTGATGGCACAAATCGTCCCTTTTTCCGAAATTTTGAAGTGGGGCTAAATTACTGTAATTTCATCGAAATATGGCAGATGACATATTAAACAAAAGCTTGAAATCATGGCTACAAAATGCTAGAATATTACGAAATTTGGTTGTTGCTTACGTTTTTTATAGACCTTTGACTTGACCCCTCTCGAAGAGGGACATTATTTATGGGACAACCTAATACAATATAAAAAATGTCAAATTCTTCAGAAATTTTGAGTCTATTCCCTCGTTTCAGAAATGGGAAGCCGAGCAGAAGCACAAAATGGAGCAACAACGTCAAGAGGAGCTGAAAACTCAATACGAAAGGGAGCAGGAGATGCTGAACAACAAGGCTTTGTTGGGTGACGAGAAAGCGAAACTCGGCCTCAGTTTCATGTACGATGCTCCAGCCGGAATGGTCAAGAAGGAAGAAGAGAAAAAGGAACCCAAGTTCGAATGGCAACGGAAATACAACGCGCCCAGAGAGGAGTGGGCCAAGGATAATGAACTGATCCAAGATCAGCCATTCGGAATTCAGGTCCGGAACGTGAGATGTGTTCGGTGCAAAACCTGGGGACATTTGAACACGGATCGAGAGTGCCCGTTGTATGGATACAGCGGAAATGCAGAGGATAAAGGATGTAAGTGATTTTTATTATTTTTTTTGGTTTTGAATTTTAGGGAGATCAGAAAGTTGGAGTTTTTACTTGGTAAATTGAAGCGGCAGACCAGAATGAAGCTTTTCAAAAATTTGGAATAGAATTTTTGAAGACGAAAAAAATTCTAAAATCGTATTTTTAGACTCGAACAACCCGTCAGACCTGATGAAAATGCTCCATGAAGACGATAAAAAGAAGCCAGAAGAGGAAGAGTGGCACGAAGCCAAGCCGTCTACATCATCATCTAAACCAACAGAAGAAATGCAAGAAATAAAGCCAAACAGAGCCCGATCCGAGTCCGCATCTGATGATGAGGACGAGAAACCCCAGCCAGTCACACAAAAACAACTTTTGGAGGACATGAGAGAGGAGCACAACTTGAAATTCAAGGCCGGCGTTCTCAAAAATCTGACGACAGAACAGGATATCATGAAAATGGGAGAGGATAAGAAGCTCCCGGAGAATTTGGATGAGTTCTTGAAGACCTTGAGTGAGAAGAAAAAGAAGAAATTGCTCAAAAAAATTATGGGTGGAAAAGTGAAAAAAGAAAAAAAGGATAAAAAGAAGAAAAAACTAAAGAAAGTGAAGAAAGAAGCAACGTCCAGCTCGGAAAGTGGGTCAGAAAGCGATTCAGAAGATGAAAGAAGACGTAAAAAGAAGCATTCAAGGCGAGAAAGTGATGATGAAGAAAAAAGATCGAAAAAGAAGCACTCAAAGAGGGATTTGAAGGTGAAAGAAGAGAACTTCAGTGATAGCGAGGAAGAAAGAAGGTATAGAAGGAATAGAAATGACAGGTAAGAGTAGTTTTGATTTTATGGCCAAGTCCAAAATTTGGGAAATTTTGATTTTTCCCAGGCCTGGTTATAATATGATGATGAAAAATATAATTATTTTAATATCTCCGAAATAACGAATGTTTTTTTTCAGAAGAGAAAATGGTGATAGAAGAAGATCCAGATCGCTAGAAAAGAGAAGCAGCCACAGACATTCGAGTAGATCGCCCAGAAGAAATGGAGATGATAGGTCAAGGAGAAGGTCCAGATCGAACGAAAGAAGAGAAAAAAATGGAAAAGAACGGCAGATTGAAGCTTCTAGAAGGAGAAGATCGACTTCGCACGAGAGAAAATCAAAGGAATCATCGAGAAAAACGAGAGAAGACAGTAGATCCCCAAGGAGAAGATCGAGAAGCCCTGAAGCAAAGAGAAGAAGGCATGACTCGGAAAGCCCGGTTAGAGCGAAGAGAAGAGATGACACGAGAAGTCCGAGGAGGGATTCGAGGAGAAAACGACATGATTCAAGCGAAGAGGAGACGAAAATTGGACAGAGGAGAAGACATGACTCAGAAAAAAGACGAAATTCGACCTCAAGAAGCAGATCACCGGTGGAAAAACGAAGAAGAAGACATGACTCGAGCTCCGAAGATGATCGTCCTAGGTAATTTTTGATTTTGGGGCGGTTTTTGTTAATTTTTTAAGATTTTGGTAGTTTAATATCAGGAAAGTCGTTTTATTTTTATTACCTCTTTTGATGGTAATGCACTATATTTTTCTCGTTTTAGACATCGAAATGACTCCGACCAGTTGTCCAGACTGAACATAAAAGAAGAACCTCAATCCCCAGTCCCCGTCAAAACTCCAGGCCGGAGACGGCATGATTCAGATTAAAAAGTGTGATGTAATTACGGTAATAGCCCAATCCGAATAAATTATTTTAAGTTTTGATGAGAATTTAGCTTAAATTTATTAATTTCGCAGGTGAAAATCCCAGGCGTATTTTAAAATAAATTTTGAAATTTTTTTATTACCGTATCTTAGCCCAAGAATGGAACCAAGCCCTCCACCCCATGAAGACCAAAAGCCAATGATGAACGAACATGAAAAACAGAAGCTCAACGAACGCCTAAAGATCCTCCAAGCCGAAGAAAAAGCCCTCCTGAAAGTTATGATCGACTTGAACAGCCAAGCAAGGAAATTGGGGCTCGAAAAGATCCGGTTACTCGAATTGGCCAAGCAAAAAGTCAAGGAGGAAGAAGAATTTTGATGTAAAAATACTACAATTTGATGCTTTACACTTGACCTCTAACATTGTTCATATATTTTACCGTTCAGATATCAAGTTTACTGTACAATAAAGCCATAATTTATATTCTGATATCAAAGATTGAGGTAACAAAACAAAATAAAATTAATCGCCTTTGGGGAAAATTTCAGCGAGTAATTTGCTAACAGAAGCATCGGGTTCTTGAGGTTCTGTGGTCTGAGAGGATTCTACATCAGCCTTTTCTTGTTTTTCCTCTTCAGAACTTGGCTCCTCTACCGATTCGGGAACCCTCTTTTTGACCTAAAATAAGGTAATTATTAAAAAATGAACAGGTAAAATAAATTCATAATGACGTCAACTCACATTATCAATCGTGTCGTAGTGTTCCGCGTAGAAATGCGCAATTAAACTGGGCGTTTTGACGTAAGAATTAGTGTGGCAAAGGCGGCATTCGTGAACTTTGCCGTGGACTTCGATATGGCTCAACACAGCCTCGTAATTCTCGAACTTCTCAGGGCATATCGGGCAATAAATGTCTCTGGCATTCCTCATATGTCTTTGGACGTGATCACGGCGCTTAAATTGAGATTGTTATATTGTTTTAGGCATCAAAATCGACCTTTCTGAAAATGAAAACAAAAAGTAGTTAAAAGCTACCTGGTCCTTCCTAATGAACTTCTTCTGACACATGGGGCATTCGTATTCCTTGGACGACAGCGCTTGATTGTGCCTTCGTTTGTGGCGCTCGAGGTTTCCTCTTGAAGTCATCGACTTTCCACATGTTTCACACACGAATTCGGCGGCCTTTGGAGCACCGTTTTCCGGTACCGGTACGGCATTGTCACGACAACTTTCCAATAGGTCGAACTGAAATTATTTCGGAGTTTACAGCGCAAGAATAATGTCGTGGAACACTTGACTCAACTGTCCCGAATGTGTCAACTTTTCACTGGTCGGAAAATTTGCGAAATTTTGCAGCAACCCGTGGAAATCCGGCTTACCAATCCGCTCTCGTGCATCTGTACATGAACCCAGAGCTCATCCGACTCTGTTGTCTGAAATCCACATTCCGCACAGGCCGTCAATTCGATCTTCACCATGGTCAACAGTTCCTGAATCAAAGTTTCGACAAAAGTGGTCGAAAATCCCACTCGGCATGGCATGAAAAATGTGATGCAAATTTTCAGTTTTCACTTTTGTAGTTTTATCCACGTTTTTTCATTTGAAAATTCGTTGTTTCAAACTTTGGTTGCAATGAACGGTCGGAAGAAACCTTCTTCCTCTTCCACTAGAGAGTACAAGGACGGCGCTCCACTGCCAGTTTGTGGTGACAAGGAATGGGAGGTGGCCGAGCCCGCAAAGCCAGTGGAACATATCAACGAAGCTTTGACTCAAGTAAGGAGGAATTTTTCTATTTTTGTTACCCAATTTTAGAGCAAAGTGAATGTTTTTGTGGCTGGAGCCAAGTCTGAAAACAGCGCCAGATTAAAACCAAAATTGGGCATGATCTCGCCGACTTCAGTGGACAAATTGAGCAAAAGGACGACGTCCAGCTCGGCTACCCGCAACTTTTCTCCCTCCCTAGTATCTGTGAGACGCCAGAAGAACCCTCCGATCATAAATGAAGTCCCCATTCAACGGATTCCGAAGAAAAATCAGTTTTTGGACGAGAAATTCGTCGATTCGACGACTCTTTTTGACGAGGTTATGGAAGTCCTGAGGGAAGTTTTGGCCGAATTCGAAGATCAAGTCGAGGTTATCAACGTGAAAAGCATTTTGGAAGAGACTCCTCAGCCTGTGGAGAACACCGATCCCATGTTTTATATGGCTTATAAGACTAGTGTAAGTTGACGTCATGAATAATATAAAGTTTTCGCGGTGCGTGTAATGTTGTGATGGATGGTTTTAGCACACCCAAGATCATCGAGGAGGCTTTGTCATTGGCTTTGAAACCGATTCCCAGCTTGGCTCCAGCACTCCTGGAAGCGCTTCGATTTCGTCGAGGAGAGATTAAAACTTCTTGGTCGAATAAATTTTTATTGTATTTTCGAAATTTGGAAAGTGTTACAATCAGGGAAAGGGCAATAAAACTTAGTTTAATGGTGTCTATGATACAATTAACACAATGATTTGCATAATTGGTTGACCTTGTCTTTTGGTTATTCAATCTTGTGTTGTGGTGATGCTAAAGTCGGCTTCTTTTTTCCCTTTGATCTTTTTAATTGTAAATGGTCAATCTGAGCGGACTGTTGGAGGGAAGATACGATGTGAGAATTCGAATCTTTCCGGTAAAAGTATGCTTGTAAGTCTGTGAAATCGAAGTCTTGAGACTATTGTTTTGAGACCTTTCAATTCACAACTTGGGAATTCCGTGAGTGCAGTGGATTGGATATAATCGAGAGAATAAAAGGGACCTGTGATATCAGTGTGTTCATGTATTATATTGATCACAGTAAGGGCTCTTACTTATAGATAAACACAGGTTTCTAGATCCCACGGTAAACCCGGTGACTGGTGAGTTTACCGCCAAATACACTCCCCGTCATGCTGACGCCCCAAGACGCAAGCTTTCAATGTAAGTAGGCAGGGAAACCCTTGATAATGACGTATCACATCATTATCAAGGGTCTGGCGGACCTGATCCAGTGGCAAAAAACGTAACATTTTACGAGAGGTATCAGAAATGTGGCAAAATACCTCTTTAAGTGAAAACAACTTTATTTTGACGGGCGCCGGCTCTTTTTGTGAGGCAAAGGGCGCCCTCTTCAAAACGGACTTTTTTATTGAGTTCTAGAGGGAGATATTTTGCGACATTTTTGATACTTCCCGGATGCAAAATGGTACGTTTTTTGCCATTGGATCAGACCCGCCACTGTATATCTACGGTCCATTATCTTTACAATGGATCATGCAGTACAAAAAATATTATAATATTCGTTACAGGGAGGGTCTGTTGTGGCCACTCTCATTTTGGCCTAAATTTGATTAGATCTTGTTAATAGTCCGTCCGGAAAGTCGCCGGACGGAAATCGGCGACATGCACTCCGCGAAAACGAAAGTTCACTTTGCACTGTGCAATTTTTGGCTTTTTGCACTGTGCAATAGGCTTTTTTGGGCTGTCGCCCGCACCCTGAGTTTTCGTGCACAGTGCATGTCGCCGATTTCCGTCCGGCGACTTTCCGGAAGGACTATGTAATCAAATTGGTTGGCCAAGAAAAAAATTTTGCTTTCAGTTCTCACGAATGCGATGGTTATTGTCGAGTTCATGAAATTTCGGAGGAGTTTAGTGGAGATGTGAAGACCGATTATGACATTGTACTGAGCAGCGGCGATCCAGGGGCTTGTAAGTGTACAAAAAAACATTCAAACCTCGGTACCACGACTCGCAAAAAAATATTCGCTATAGAAAGGTTTTGTTGCATGGAAGTTTATTTTGGCCTAAAATTGAATTTTTAGGCCTTTGAAATTGTTTGTTATAGAGAGGTTGCGTTGTACGGGAGTTGATTGTATGGAGGTTCCACTGTATTATTTTTAGATGTCAACCAAGGCAAGGAGTCGCTTTATTTCTGCAATGGCAACAAGTATCCTTAACCTTGCATTGCTTACTACATAACTTATAATTCCATTTTGTTTTTCATAAATTCCAATGACATAAATAATTTGTACTTTATTCACCAGGCTTAAGATTACTTTATAAGTCAACTAGCTAATCTAGCGCTCTTGTCTGGTAAAAATGGATCAAATCCGAGACCGATCTAACTCTTCCCGTCTCGTTGTCATCGCTTCTCTGGTCCTCATCATTTCTCCTTGAGTTCCTCGAACTGGCCGTTGAATATCCCGATGACTCTGATTTCGCCGAACTCGAACGGCTGATTCCTTCGGCGATGGAGAAGGCGAGCTTCAGGACTTGGCAGACCTCCGGCTTCTCTTTTCCCGCATGAAATACGAAGCATTTCCGTTGCTGGATGTCATCGTCCACACATTTCGCAAAGAGGCAAAAGTATTCGTTCAGTTCCTAAATTCAAAAATATTTGAGTGTGAATGGACCAGAGTTTTGAGATTCTAGTCTTTAATAAGTAAAAAATGTGGTTTTTAATGACTTACATCTTCGCCTGGAACGATCAATGAGATATCTTCAATCTTGAAACGAAGAATCTTTGGGTTGTTGGAGTCGATGATGAGCACCGATTTGTGGGTCACGTTTAGGTCGATTTCTGATTGGATTATGGTCAGTCCTTCATGAACGTCGTCTATGTTCTAAAAATATATTTTATTGAAAGTTCTGTAGCCCCTAGTCCGCGAAGAACTTACAGTGAGGGCCCTGATCCATTGGCAAAAAACGTATAATTTTGCATCCGGGAAGTATCAAAAATGTGGCAAAAAACCTCCCACTACAATAAAAAAAACTTGGTTTTGAAATGCGGGTCTTTTCCCTCACAAAAAGGCGCGCCTTTGAAATCGGATTTTTTTCACTTGGAGAGGGAGGTATTTTGCTGCATTTTTGATACTTCCTGGATCCAAAATGGTAAATTTTTTGCCAATGGATCAAGTCCCACTGTAAATAGAACATCCCATGCGAGACTCCTTTCTCGCGTTTTGCGGAAACAACGGCAGTTTTTAAATTTGGGAAGATGAACGTACCGCAGCCCTTTCGCCATTCCCTTTGTGTACTTTATCCACCACTTCTTTAATCAACTTTTCCCCAATCTTTTTTTGCTCCGAAGTTTCTTCCGAATAAAACGAACTCTCCACTGACACACTTCCCAACAACTAAACGTTTATTAGATTACATTTCCAAGCTTTTTAAGCCCTACCTCAATGGCAAAGGTGACTCCCGTATTGTAAAGTTGAGAAATCGAATCTCTTATAGCCTCGGACGAAGAAGCGCGGTCCATCGCATTTCTTTTTAGCAAATTTCTTCATAAAAAGGTGTAAAACGAAAGTTTACAGTAAAGGCGGGAGAGGGAGGATTCTATTTTATCTGTTTATTACCAAAAAGGAACAGGAGGAAAACAGAAAAGTAGAGACGGCGGAGAAAAGGCAGAAAGTGTTGCAAAGAGAGAAATTTCATATGTTTGTGTCATATTGCGCAAATACAGTAGCCAGACAGGAAGTCGTGTTTTTTGCCTGTTCTTCCGCGAAAATTACTAACGCACAACCCTCGTATAAATAATCATTAGATCTTGTGTGAAGAGATTTTTTTTAAGAGTTGAAATATGGTCTATTAGGTCGTCCAGAAAGTTCGTTCGTTTTTTTCATTGCTTTGTTTTACAAGGATTGTTTGTTTTTTGGCAATGTTTGGAGAAACTGCGCCCGTTTTGAAGTAAATCTTCGCCCCAAATTTTCAGCATTCTTCCCAAATTGTCACTTTTTTAAATAATCCATTCTTCGGTAAATCAAAAATGTAAATCATTTGAATTTCGAATTTCGAAACCCGAATTGGGACGACTTCTGAGTTTTAATCCATTAAAGTTATTTGTAAACGAATACGTCGTAGCAACCTACTTTTTTAAAGGTAATTTGCATTATAAAAGAATACCACCTGTTCGTTGTTTGAACGGCTAATTCTTGGCATGAATGTCTCGTTGAAAGTTACGAGAACCAAACTTTTTTAACATCTTTTTTATTTGGCTTCATAATGTCATGGGTGTGCTGTTAAATGAGGATGAGTTGCCAACGCCGCAAATGTTAGCGGCCTACCGAACTTTTGAATATGTCGCTTATGTGGTTAGTTTGATCATATTGGTCATAACTGTGGCTACTATACTGTGTAAGTCGCAAGATGACCAATAAAAAGATGATTTTTGTCAGCAAGTTCGCAAGCTGTTGGACAATATCGATGGTACCTGCTGCATGGGCTGGCATGGTGAGTTTTTTCAAAAAAATACTACATAAGAGGGTCAAGATTTAATCAAAATTTTCAAATTTTGCTCGATCTATTCGCAGTTAATTCCAGGTTATTTGTATTCGACACTTTTGGCACTCTTATTGGAGCAGTGACTCTCTTCCCAGTTCCCTGTTACTATGGCATAAATGCCGCCGCAAGTATTGTTGGGACTAAACAAATTGTCTACTTCTTTATTGGAGTCGGCAGTATCATTGGCAAAGTCTCGGCACTGGTTTGGCAATTTGAATTTCGATATTATCAAGCTCAGCCGAGCACTTCTCGTTACCGGCATATCTGCGGTTTGTATTCGGAGAAAACATGGGTCGTCTTTCGAGTTTGTCTATTGTCTTCATTCATCGCCGTTGTCATTGTGAGTATTTTTTTAGCGGAAGAGATGAAAACGTACCAATTTTTATAAATGAAACTTGGCAAAAATTTGCAAGAAAATTTTTAGCGATAGATTTGCTATTTTTAGAAAATCTTAACCTCAATTAATGCCAAGTTTTGTCAAAATCAGCGCTTCAAACTCTGAACACTCCCTCCCTAACTTCTCTTTTCCCTCTTCCAGGCCCCGCTCGCCATTTCTTTTCCGGATCAAGAAAAGCAACGGCAATTCCTGATCTCCTTGGACCCAGTGATCGCCAAGATCATCGCCCAGCATCCCGGGATGATGTGTTTTTCCACTGGCACCAATTCCAACAGTGTTATCATCATCCCCTTCATCCTGGCGCTCCTACTTCCTTGGGTCGGTGGCTATGCAACGTATTTGATTTACGCCGCAATCCGGAAACAACAGTTAACAACGAAGACGCGGCGACTTCAGATGATGTTGTTCTGGTCGTTGTTCGCTCAATTGGCCGCACTTTTTTTGTTGGTCCTAGTGCCAGCTACTGTTTATCTTGGCGGGCCTTTATTTGGCTTCAGGAATTTGCCCAGGATTTCGATTTTTTGCTTTTATCCAATTCTACTTCACACTGCTACGGATTGTGCCTTAATTCTGTATTTTATTACGCCTTATCGGCGCAAATTGATGAACAAATTCCGTGCCTTAGGGAACTACGCTCATCTGGTGGAGAGCTCGTCCATTCAAAATGTGAAAGTGTCTCCGAGCAGAAACGGGAGCTTTGCCATTCCGCGAGAGTAAAATCAAGGTGGATCGAAAAAAAATTTCGAATGAAAATCAAAGAAAATCTTGAAAAAATAAAAAAAATTCAGTTGCTCAGACCTTTGCTATGTCTGAAGACGTCTACGACGCCTCTCTGTTCGGCTTCCCGGAGCGATGTTGACTCATAATTGTCTCATATTTGGATCCGTTTCCTTTTCGCAGAGTCTTCAGTTCAACAAACAAAACTAAAGAAATTATTGAACGTTTATTCAATTTGATGGAAGTTTTTCATTTATTTGTATTTACTCTATCTTGGGTTTATCCTGTGCTTGCCAATAAAGGCTCAATAGTGAAGAAATTCGAGGGCACTGTAAGATGTAAGAGCGATGGAGATCTCAATGGGAAAGGTCGATTGGTAAGCAGTATGAAACTGACAAGGAAAGTGCACCAAGTGTTCCAACTCCGACACGGATTTTGCTCGGATTTTCTTCAAATTTTGAACATAAAATGAGCCTAGGCCACACATTAATTCCTGAAAATCTCAGATCGCGTATTGCACGGTAATATAGGAGATACGGGACTCTCCCTCGACCGGAGTACTCGCCAGGCATGTCTCATACAGATTGCTACTTTTCCAAGAATGTAATGGGTTGCATCCGTGGTAGGGACTTTATCAATCAAGACCCTGTTGAATGGGCCTTCAAAAGTTTCATCGGCTCTAGAAGCCGGGGTTTCGTAGCGACTGGCAAAAAAATGCTTTCAACGCGTTGAAATAAGTGTGTTATAACAGATGGAGATTATTTTGATAAAAAATATCATCGTTATTACGGTAAATTTCTTTGTACAAAAATTTCTTTGAAGAACGACATTACTTGTTGGACAACCTAATAGAACGTAAAATGAAGAGAGTTTAGAGCGAAACCGCAAAAAATTCTCAATTTTTGCTTACTTTTCACCAAAACCCCTGTGATACAAAAAAAATTTCAGACTTTTTTGGTGACGATTCTCGATTATAAACCATGGTAAGCCCAAGGATTACCAGTTATGATCGTATCGGATTTACAGTCGGAGTTTAGAAATATGGGACAGGATCACCGGGAAATGCGCTAATTATGTTTATCAAAACCAATTTGTTTACGGTAACACCGCTCTCGAAAAAGACCTTCTTCAGAGCCAAAAGTTGATGTGCAAACTGGACGATTCGTAGCCAGCTACAATGCCGTCAAGGACAACGCCGAGGTTAAGGGAATATTAATGTGAGAACACCATATTTGGGCTCAAATCTCCAACATTTTATATTGCATTTTCAGCTCACACGAGTGCAATAATTACTGTTTAGTTCACAATGTAACAAATTTTGGGAATCTCGACAATATGCAGATTACGTTGGGGGATGAAGAGAGCGGCGATAAACCTGCTTACAGTAAGATAAATTGAATCGTAATTGAAGAAAAATGCGTTTCAGGTTTTCGAAATGAAGGCCTCTACTTTTGCAATGGAGAAAAATATTAGGTTGTCCCATAAATAGTGTCCCTCTTCCGAATATTTCCTTAAACTACAAAATTTACCGCAGTAACAGCGATCTATTTAATCAAAATGATTATCATCTGTTTGAGCAGGCCTAGTTGAATGTACCAAGAGCTTTTTTATGCCGGTAGCTTCAAAACTCCGGATTCTGGAGCCGATGAAACTTTCAAAGGCCTTTTGAAAGGTGTCTTAATTGACGAATTCCCTACCACGGATGAAACGTGGTAGATCCTTGAACAGGTGGTAATCTGTACAGGCTACGTTTGACGAATACGCCTAATGGGGGAGAGTCTCGTATCTCTGTTAATTTGGATTCCGGAGGGTCATTTTTGCAACGTGAGGTTGCGCGTCCCCGCCAAGAACTTTCGGACTTCTGCAGTGTATTGCTGAAGGCAGATTGTGCCACAAATTGTCCATGTAGGTACAGTAGAGGATGCTATTTACTGTTTGCCTAGGTTCTAGGGATTTGTACTGTGCGAAGATAACGTTGCGCCATCAAAAAGTGGTCGTGACCGTCTTCTAGTGGAACTCAGAATTTGGGAAGTGCTGTGGTAGTACTCCGGGGTGCTTCATTGACCAAATCTTGTCTAGGTGTCGTAGTTAATCCACTTTTCACCATAAGCCATGATACGATCGAGGAAATCTGGATGTTCGGTTCGGAAAAGCAAAAAACCCGGTGCCTTCATTCTGGGCTTTGGTCCACTAATATGGGAAGAATTTGTCCAGCTTTTTCTTGAAACTATTGACATCGAACTGTTAACCGTTGATAATTATGATACCACCACGATCCCAGAAAGGCGTCGAATGTTGATTTCATGATTTTTATCTACCAATGACCTCAGGGTAAATTCGCAAAGCTGAAAGGACGCACTTTCTCTTAGGGGTCCCCGCGGCCAGGTCGAATTTTTTAAAACCATCGTTTCACCGTTACCGGACTCACAGCATACTCACTGAACATGATGTTGATATTTCGTGTAGCTTCTGGAACGTTAGCACCCTGTTTTTGCTCACACAAGTTGATGGCGCGGATCTACCTTTTTTCCACAATTTTGAATTGGCGCTAAATTACTGTAATTCCTTCCAAATATGGTATGCGATACATTAAACGAAAGCCTGAGATCACAGCTACAAAATGGTGGTAACACTGCAAAATTTGGCTGGTGCTTACGTTTTTTATAGACGTTTGATTTTGCCCCTCTCGAAGAGGGACACTATTTATGGGACAACCTAATACAATGTTAGTGCAAATTGATGAACGAAGCGGGTGAAGTTTCATGAAAAAAACATTATTTTCGAGGAAATAAATATGAATTTTGATTTGAAAACTTACTGAAAAGTTTTTTGTGAAGAGTAAAATCCTTCTACAGTGACTTAATCCAGTTACAAAAAACGTGCCATTTTGCATCCGGGAAATACCAAAAAGTGTAGCAAAATACCTCTTCAAAACGGAGTTTTTATAGTTACAAAGGGAGGCATTTTGCCACATTTTTGATACTTCCCGGATGTAAAATGGTACGTCTTTTGCCACTGGATCAGGTCCGTCGCTGTATAAAAATAAAATTTTTCCAAGTTTTTCTCTTTCTCTCTCTTCATTTTGTGAACTCTCTCGTCGCCAAAGATCGTTGAATATCTCAGCTGCTCTTACAAAGTGCGACCTATAATTTGGAGGAATTTATTTGTGGTCTAAACCTAACGTTTCTGCAAAATTTAAAGAAAATCTGAGCATCTCAGTTTGAGAAATCTTTGTTTATAAACACATAGATTTTTATTCATTTTCAATTTCTAATTTGTTCACCACATGTCTGAAACCCTCAGAAATGTAATATTTCGTATTTTTCTATCAAGAAAACCCGAGATTTTCCATCCAAAGTCCAAAACCTGACGTAGTTTGTCGCCACGCTCGGGACACGCTCAGAAATTCATAAATTCATGTGCGAAACAATCGAAAAACAGCTGGATTTGAGTTTGATTGGCGGCCAAAAACAGGTCTTATCCCCAAAAACAAAACAAAATTTTTATCCAAAAGTACACCAAATTACCGAGCGACCGCAACGAATTTATTTTTTTACATTCCCGCACATTGACGCAATTTCGTTTAAATTTGTACATAAAAGTACTAGTCGCGGAAAAAAGTCCTGGGATTTTTCTGCGACTCTGCACTGTGCATGAACCCGAAAAGTGCTTTTGCACAGTGCAATTTTGTTGATTTTGCCTTATTGTCGCGCGCGATTCCCGCGACAAATCAACTTTTCGGAGCGCGACGGAATTTGGGGGCGCGAGAAAATCCCAGGACTTTTTTCCGCGACTAGTACCACCTTTTTCGGCGATTACTCGACCGGAAACCGAACAGTGATGTTTAATTTTGGCAAAATATTTATTTTCGCTCAATTATGGGCATGTCAAGCGTGGCCTGACATTATAATCGGCCTTATTTCGAGGCGAATCACTTTGATTTGAGACTTATTTCCGGAATTTCCGGCATAAATATAATGCGGAGCAATTGTCGTGTCAAATTGGAAGTTGATTTCGGTCCGATTAATGTGGTTCCGGGACCACAATTGGACGGGTGGTTTTGGTGCGCCCACTCGCTTCGGAATACCGATCTTCCGGAAGGTAAAACATTCTAAATTGGTGGGGGATGACCGGAAAAATTTTGCAGAGAAACAACTCTCGTGTTCAGTTTTATGGAAAGCGAGGGGTTGCCCTTTTACCCCTAGGGGTTTTTACACACCAACCCAATCTCTCTAAAAATTGTACCAACCGTACACGGTGTTTTTTGACGCTAGAAAATTCGGTTGATGTTCAGCTATCCTAGTTCAAAAAATATGTAAAAAGTTTAAAGACGAATGGATGGTCGTTTTTTGAGATTTCCGGTAGTCTCGCACATGGTACAACTCCTTCAGAAAAAAGCTATAAATTTTTAACGAAACCAATCTTTGACGCGCTCAACAAACTTTGTGGGCGACATATCAGAGTGACAGTACGGTTGATGACATTCTGCATTAACTATGTGTATTGGGGGCCCATAGATTTTATTTTTGCCGGCTTAAAAACAGAGGGGGTAGTTTTTTCGACACATCAGAATATTCCAGATAACTGTTAGTTTTCCAAAGAATTATTTATTGTTCAATGATCCGTCTACCACGTACATTTTATTATCATATTGATATATAAGAAAACATAAGGATTCATGATGTAATTACAAATAAGGTTTCTCTTGATGGGCTTCCAAATCTTTTTTGCAAGTATAGTAAATATAATTGTCATAATTGAGCGTTTCATCCCATTTTAGGCATCGTTTTTAGCCCACGCTTTGCAGAGGCTACAATCATGATGTTAACTCAAAACTTATGGACAGGAAATCTGGGTTCTTTCGGCAGAGAAACACACATATGTCTTAAATACTTGATATCTAAGTCAAGCCATAAAAAATTTGAGCGCCGCACTTGACTATTGTGCTTACAATCTTGGTACAAGAAAACAGAAAAATACCCAAAGACATACTACCTAATTGCTCACAGTGATTATGTGGTAAACTGAAAATATTAAGATATAAAAATAACTGTGAAAGGGATTCCCATACTGGTAGGCAAACAAAGCCCGCTCATCCCACTTTTGCACGTCGAGCCAGCACCTCGCCGTGTTGAGCGTGGAAGAGCTTCAGGTGTGGCGAAGACTTTGTGAAAAGGTGGGCAACAAAGTGACGAGAGGTTTGATGTCCGTCATGTGATACTGTTATCACATGTTTTCAGGTCCGTCACATGTAGCAACCCGGAGATTTCGGGCGAAACTTGGTCATAAATTCACTGTAGGAGAATTGACAGTTTTTTGACATGCACTGTGGAATTTTGAGAGCAAAAAATCACTTTTTTCAGGGCAAATAGGGGAATGTGCGACGCTTAGATTGAAAAAAAAACTCGATTATTTTGGCCGAGTCTGCAAATCATAACATAAGATTTTCAAAAAATCATGTTTGGGATAATTTGCAAAGCAATTGTTTACCAATTTTGCAAAAAATTTTTTCTTGCACCAATTGTTTTGTTATTTCCTGACTACATTCTTGCAATCACGCTCCTATTTTTCTCCTACGCAACTTCCATCTCTCTACCATAACCCGGTTTCATAGTTCTGGAGACTGGTCGAGGAAATGACGGGACCTTTACCTTCCCTTTACCTGTCATAACCTGCCTTCTTTTCCGCATCCAGAAGTCTCCTTGGAGGCGGTCCGGGGATATGACGTTTGGAAAGCCGTTCTTCGTTTTATGGCCTAGAAGTTAGTCTGGCTGCCTAAGGCGGAGCCCATGATTATTCTTATGTTTTTTCGGATATTGTTTTAAATTTCGGGGGATTTGAAGTGGCCTAGGAATTTTATAGAATATAAAAAAAATCTTAAAACTTGCAGGCTTCTGTAGCTTGTTTTCAGACGAAAAAATGAAGGTTTAATGCTTAGCATTAGTTGAAACTTGGCACGAATAAAGAATAAGAAGCATAGAGCAGATTTTTAGTTTGTGATTTATCCATCGAGATTTTTAGGGCAAAAATATACTGTAATCAAATTTTTAGGATATTATCAAAACACAGAGCCTCTGCAGAGAAAAAAAATTCGAACCTATTTTACAAGTTTTTTCGAAAAAACACTTTACGTTGTACTTGTACAATATGTAATTAACTTGTAATTATTGCAAGATAATATGTTATGAAAGTTTTTCTCTCATTTTCACTGTTTATTCGCTGAAAAGAAATTTCCTTCCAAAATCTCTTCCTGCGGAAGTTTTAAAGCCTTGCGAAAACCTCTTGCAAGTCTGACCAAATCGTTTCCCAGTAATCTACGTGCTCCCCACCATATTATTCTCAATCCAACCCTGCCCATCTCCCACCCAAACTCGTCACCAAACTGCCGGTTTGACGTGAGTTATGTCCACAATGTTTTCAATTTGTTTAATCCGTCGTCGGATTAGCCGCATCCATTGAGGGTGTACGGCGCTTAGAGGGAATGCCCGTGGCGATGATTTTTAACTTAAGAGATCAAATTGCGTAACACTGCGTAATTTCGATGGATATTTCGAGGCTTGTTTGTTTGAACTGGGAGGATTGGGGCTGCATAAAAGGGCCGGGATAAGGCTGCAGACGTTATGTTAGATAAGTTTTAGGGCCGGAAAGACCGTTGGGTTACTGTAGCTGACTTGTTTAAGGGGGTGGGAGGAGTGGATTTTAGCTGCTTTAAAAAGACAACGATGAGTTAGGATAAGGCTGTAGATGGTCATACTTACAAACAAGTGACAAGGTTACTGTAACAAGTATTTTACTTTTTTTCAATTTTTGTTTGTTTTCTACTTTTTAGTCATCCGTTGTTTTGCCCAAATGTATATTTTTATTTTTACGTTTTACCTCAAGGTTCAATGCGTTTCACTTTTCAGTCCCCTATCTTCTTGGGCTTCCATCTTCCTGCTAGATTTCCCCAGGCCACAGAAAAAATACAGAATGCAAAATTGGGTGTGGATCTCACTTCTTTTGGCCATGATATTCTCGATGGTTGTGTGTGCACAGAGAGAAGAGCAGCATGCCGCAAATCCACTGCAAAGGCAGAACCGGGCAATCATCACCTTGGGCGAACTGCTCGAAAGGACAATGTGGCCCGAGGAAATGTAAGTTTTGCGATCAATTTAAAAATATTATCAGATTGTTGGCAATACTTTTTGAAAATACTAGGTGGGTAGAAAATGGCTGGTTACTGTAACTTTAAAGGATTGTTTTTACATTGAATTGCGCTTTGCAGAAATCATTAAGATTTTAGTTCCAGATTTGGTAAAATGAGCTATTTTTAGATTCAATAACATAAAAAATTCACATTGTGCTCAAAGTAGCTCAACGTTTTCATAAAAAAACTTTTCTTCAAACAGAATTCAAAAAAATTTTTTTTCTCTCCGACTCTCCTCATTTCGCGCGCTCTTTCGAAAAAATGATGACACAAGAACTCGACTGAAAAGGTGAACTAAAATTTTCAAAAACTGAATTGCAGCTTATGCACAGTATCATGTAAATTTTAGAGAGAATCGACATACCGCGTTTCACACTTTTTTTCTTTCAAATTCTTTCATTTTTTGATCAAAAAATCTCGATAATTTTTGAAAATCTCCGGTACAGACCCCCCACATTTCAAAAAAAAAACCAAATTTTAATTTGCTCCATGGTCATTCAAAATCTGAGCTTTAATTTTTTATGATCTTTAAAAATCTTGACCTCTAAATTATAATCATTTGCCCTTCCAATTCCGCCGGAAACGCCAAAAGTTTGGCCGGAAACTTTTCCTTTCAAACCGACTACATGGTCTATAAAACTTTTTCGATGGCCCTTATTATTCATGTCAGGTAAAGCGGACGAATTTACGATAAAAAGGGCGGGTTTCGGATAAAAGTTTGGCAACAAGCATGAATTTACAATGAAATCATGAGTGGGCTGTAAAAATGGGAATAAGAAAGAATGGTAATTTGAACGGAAAGTTGAGAAAATTGGTAAAATACGACAGCTAAAGCTGAATTGCTGATTTCAATTTAAAATTTTGAAAAATAAAAGAAATTTTTTCCGAACTTTTATTAAGCTCTCTAAAATTTCAGAAGAACAGTAAAAACACGACGAGCGCCCTCCGGAGGTGACAACTACCAGTGGGAGAGTATGATGCAGTCATTGGACAACCTCCGGAAACCTCGGTTCGGTTAAGGTTCATGTGCAATATAAGACTTCGACGCCCCGATCTCTCGCACCCATGAATAAAAAGACGTTGACATCCGCCCCATGCCCTCAATTAACCAGAGCCCACCAAATATATTGTTGTGTATACAGCATCATGCTTTGTAGCCTCCCTTTCTTTGGATCACTCCGTAATAAACTGTTCGTTTTGTACAAGTCCTTTGAGAGGGGTTCAGCTCAAAGTGAAATGGGGGATTTTGATGAAAATGGATCAAAAAGAAGATTAGAAATAGCCAAGCGAGGTCCGAGATTTTTAGCAATGATTTGTAGCTTGCTCCTCGGAAGCAGCCAAGATTTTTTGGCCGGAATTGACTTACAATAAATTTTGGTACTTTTTTTGATAGTGTTGGCGTACTAGTCCGTTCGCAAAGTCGCTGAAGTGATTTCAACGACATGTACATTGAGAAAGCTAAATTTCACCTTGCTGTGCGATTTCTTGCATTTGCACCGTGCAATAAGTTTTTTTTTTCAGCTGTCGTTCGCAATCTGACTTCTTCTGCACAATGCGAAGGCCAAAAATCACTCCAGCGACCTTACGAAGAAGCTAGTAAAAACATCAACACAATTTCAATTCTAAAACCTGGGCTTTCTTTTGTATGATCACTTTCCCCGGATGTAGGTTCAAGTGCCAAAGTAATGCGACAAAAGCTGTCTTTGTGAGAATGTCGCGGAAGAAAAAGGTCCAACAAAGTCATTTCTGCGAACTTATAAGACATTTCAGCGGCATTTCTATCAGAGGGTGTATCAATTCTACAAAAGAATAAATCTCTTGCACTTAAGATTAGCAGATATATGTACATACAGCCAGAAAATTTTCTGGTCTTCCCCACTCCGCGTGCTCTCTCGTTAGCAGGAATTGCTGAATCTCTATTGCTGCAAACTGCAGGCTAGAATTTTTAAAATTGACAGAAAATTTCAAAGGGGCGTATTTTACATTTTCCACGAACATATAATATTTCCATTGAGATTGAATTTCTCCCTTTGCTTACACCACTTTCCCTCTCTGATTGATCCGCTCTCCCACAGCGATTTCTCATTTTCCCGTTTCCAAATTTTTTGTAAACAAACCGAAAAAAGGAAGAGGATCCGAGTGTTATCAGCCCGGCGAATCGATGCCGATAAGCCCGAATAAATACAAAATATCAACTTTTTATGATACTTTGCCTCCGGTTTGTCTGTTCCGAACACTAAATTCGAAAAAAATCGGATTTGAAACTCTTTTTGGCGGGTTGATTGACCTTCAAAGGCCTGTTCCGACACTGATCTAATATCCATTTTGAAGGGCGACTTTTTTGGTTGAATTTTTGCTTTCGGCGGATTTATTGCGCAAGACGTTTAGGTTGAGAAATTGGGGGAAATATTGTTAGGCGTATTTTACAAGGGAAGTGCTCGAAGTTCGACACGATTTGACATACATATTTTTTTTGTTTTTTTGCGAGTTTGATATGAAAATTATCATGATTGTTTTTACAGTATAACGTAATCTTCCCATATAAAATTAATTTTTTCCAAATTGGCTAAGACAAGGCCAAAAAATGTAAAGCGTTTTCCCTCTCACCGCTCTCAGCTTTTCGTGTAATCTCTCGTCCGCAAAGATCGTTCAATATCTAGGACTTCCCTGAAAAACGAGAGCTAAAATTTTCAGGAAAAGACATGTGACCTATGTCCGGCGAATATCCTAAATTTAAAGAAAATCTGCATGTTGAACTTGAGGTAATTTCCTTGTTGTTTGTTTCTTATGTGCTGAATCGGTATTCTGTAAGAAATCGATATTCCTTACAAGATTATCATTGATAATACTGAAAAACAGAAACGAACCTCTTCTCCTTGATACTCTCCAACCGCCCTCTCCCTTTTTTGGCAATTTTTTTAGATAACGCGAGCAAAAATTGGACAAAAAGTTAACCATCACGATGCATCCTATTTTGAGTTCTTTGTGGTTTTCTGTAGTCAATCATTTTATGCCCATCCTTTATTTTAAAGCCCTATTTTCATGATCACCCAACAGTTGCAAGCTTAAAGATTATATGGCGAAAAAGTTATACAAAGCTGTTCAAGTAGTCATCATTTTGCGGCCAATTTTTATTGCATTCAAATACCATTTTGTTGCAAGTCATAACGACCTAGAAAGACTATAAAAAACCCCTCAAAAAAGAGCTTTATCGTATCTTCGCCAGAGGCTTTAACGGATTCCTGGATTTTCATTTTCAACTCTCTTTATATCATTGAGATCATAATGACTGTTGTGGGTCGGAAACGCTTCATGAATATTCATTTCCGCAGGTCCCTCTCCTCATGTTTGTTAATAACAACTATCAATAAACAGAAAAATATTCATAACTCTCTTGTTTAGCCACCATTCCAACAATAATGTCCTTGGTTTTACTCAGTAACTCCCCCATTTTCTCAATTTTCAAACCGTTTAACCCTCTAAAAAAGAGTTGCTGTTAAATTGAGGTAATTTTATTTGAATTTGAATCTCCTTGAATGTTTGTTTTTACCCGTCTCGAGGTCAAATCTCCATTTTCTCTCAATTCAAACGGAAATTAATTTCGTTTTTAACTTAAAATTCTTCGTAAAATGCGCAACCAGAACCGGGTAGTTGAGCAATCGATGAGTAATACAACCAGCTTTATTTTTTTACATCTTATTTTCGAGTGGTCGATTTTTTGGTTTGCAAAATACGTCATTCCATACAAAAGAAGTAAATACGTATTTGAGTTGAGAGGGATTTTTTCGAGGAAAATGTTATTTTAAAATACGTTAAATTTTTGTTTTTTAGGAATAAATAATACGGACATTTTGGTGAAATTTGATACAATTTTTAGACCATGATTTTATCAGTCTAACAGTAGGTAAAAGGATATTTTAAGTTCGCCATTTGAAAAAACCCTTTTTTCAAAAATTTCCCAGCTTAATTTTACTTACGTATGACGACTTAGTATCCGATATGATCTCAAATCCGTTTTATAATCAATTGTTTACCTTGACTCATTCCCTCTCCCTTATTGTTTTCAAGTCTTACTTCAAAGACCAACGGTTTTTTCCCTTCTGATATTGGATTACTCTTACTGCAAAATAAAAAAGAAGAGACTAAGGAAATGCGGGCCTCGGAAACATTAGACGGGCCCAGTAAATTGGGTTAATGGGAGACTAGGGAAAATGAGGGGAATGACTTGGAAATAGATGAAGGATAGGTCTGCGGAGAGGATCTTTGCAAAGTTTCTTGGTGGTTTTTTGATAGTCTTTGGTACGATGAGGGCGGGGAAGTGATTGTACCAGATTGAGGGCGTTTTTAAACGTTCTTTATGATGGATGTTGCGTTTTGCAAGCTTTTTTATGAGTGTCGTAATTTTTAAAATACGCTTTGAGGTGTATGTCTTTTTGCTTTGAAAATAATAACATTATGGCCGAGGTTCGAAAATTTAAAAATTACAGACGATTCTCAAGCGTTTCGACTTTCGCATTTCACGGATTAGCCAAAAACCTCGTTATTTTCTACATAGTACAAACTGGAAAACTCTTATGAAACGCCTTAGAAAACGCTAGTATAAATCTAGGCTAAATTTCGATAAAATTTTTACATTTTATATTCTTTCTTATTTTACGATAAGTTATTCTTCATAACGCCCTCCTCATTTCCATCTAATTACCCCAATTTGTGTATCCATGTCAGCGCCTAGAATCCAGTATAAACAAAGTTAGCTTCAGATTTACTCCCATTTCTTCGCGGGCGCAGTAAAGCCGAGTTCCGCCAATAAAGACGCCACCGAATTTTTATGTTTTTTCCGATTTTTTTTTGTTTTTTCTCGGAGTAAAATTTAATTATTTGTATTTGAAATCCGGAACATCTGAACCCCCATGCCCGGAGGAAATTTTCTTAGAACTAATCTTACTACCATTTCTAAGATTTTTTCAAAGCCTTAAGGCATTAATCTTAATTAAAGAATTCAATTTTAGTCACTGAAAAAGAGATTAGAAGGAAATAAAAAGAAATGTTCAAAGCCGGGTTAACGAGGTCTCTAAGGCCTGAAGAGGAAAGTCATAGGAACGAAGGGTAGACCAAGGCGTTGCAAATTAAATTTTTGGGTTAGTACCGGCGACTCAAATCGTTTGAAACGCAATAAAATCTAAGGTGAATGAAAGAATTTGATGATTACTTCAAGTTAAGATTACTCTTGGGTACAAAGGACATATTTCCTAAAATTTTGGACGCGTGAAGCCCCTTGACTATTGTTCAATTTAAAAAAAAGATTAACCCTTGCGTTGCCGGTGGGGCCAAGATATTCAACAATCCAAGAATAGGCGGTCGCATCCCCGACAAGTTCTTTTATTAGCGAGAAAATCAGCTATGGGCGCTTTTGAAGTACAGGGTGCGCCAAAAATATTGGGACTCATAGGCCAGCCGAAAAAAGCTACACGGAATTGATTTTTGTCCCAATATTTTTGGCGCACCCTGTAGTTATTTATAGACAAAATCTGTTTATAATAGTGTTTTGCTTCGCTTTTTAATCGTATTTAAATTTTATTCCTAAAGCCGTCAACAGTTTTCAAGGTCATCAATAAGCCCTCACATTTGATAACAACTCGAAACTTCCCAGAAAACTTTGTCTTTTAGTTCCCAATTTTAACGTAACGGCCTTCCTTCCAATTCCTTGTAAAGCAATGAGCAAATTAGTCATTACTGTGCAATCATCTTCCCGGGAATATTATCAAAATTAATTTCGTGTTGTTATTAACAGGTTCTTCAATTCAAGTGCTTCTTGTTTTGCTATTACTCCACGCTAATGACGCGCGGATTGCGCGTAATCAAAGTCTATAATAATACTTGAGAGTCAATGAGGGAGAAATTGGAAATAGAGGGTGTTGTAATCGGGTGGTTGGAGCAAAAAATAAGTAATCATAAGTACTATAGGTCTGTTGAGAAAGCAATCAGCACAATTTCGTAGGATACATGCAGTAAAAAAGGA